TGTTAAATTACCAGAGGGTAGATTAATGCAATCAGCAGGGTTGGTTACATTATATTGGTTGCATTAGCATGCATTAGCTACATTGGTGTTAGATGGTATTAGCCGTCCACCCAGCTATTACCATTTGTTAGTTGTAGCAGTTGTAGCTATTGCTATAAATGGCAGGGTGGCAGTGGCTGGAACCTTTGTTGAATCATGGTTGCAAAGGGCCCTAAGATGCCAGGAGCAACCCTGTGATGGCTTGCTTAGTACTCACTAAGTCACTATTGTTTTCCATCAATCTGGGAAAATTATAACGACTTGACTTCGACCGAAACCTGGAATCATGGTTAATACGGGAAATCATCCCCAAATGGCCCAATAATTCAGGTTAGTCAGTGAAAAATTATAACATACCCAAATCAATGGATTGTACCCAACCAGCTAGAGATATGTGTTGCAGGGTACTGTATCTAAGATTGACCATGAGAAAGTGAGATGCTGAGGTACCTAACCAAGTCCAATTCCAATATAATGTGTTATCTCTATCTTAATAATAATAATAATAAATTGGTCGGCGAACATGGTGACTCGAATCCACAGTATTTGGGATACACCGCAGTCATCAACACGAGCAGATTTAACCATCAACAAGTGAGAGAGATAATCTGGAAACACCTACTTCTTTGTGCAGGGGTTTCGAGCTATGGTACCAGTATGGTGGCTGAGCATCCGCTATATATATATATATTAGAATAAATGGATCCTGATGGATATTCTGGGTCATATCACAGTGATTCTGTCCTGATCGTTTGAAGGTTACATATCAGCATATATTTAAACCTTAATATATCGGCAACAGTGTTGCCTCCCCGATTTAGATGAAAGGAAGCCTGATTCGGAAATAACCATTTCGACGAAAAAAAACCAGTGAAAATCAACGGGTTTCCGCAGGGGCACAGGCGCAATCTTTTTTCATCCTGTGTTTTTAGTTGGATTCCAAATCCATTCAACAAAGATATATTTCGGACTGGTGACTTAGGACTTAGGCCACCATAGTGACATAGGATTTTGTGCACCAAGTCCTAAGTCACTGGTGTTCTTACCAGGTGATTTGTGTGCACCCAGTCCTAAGTCATCCACAGACCCCTCCGCTAGTCATGAACCAACGACTTGCTACCGCCTCGGGGGATCACATTTGCCAACGAGATGACCTTGCTGAGGCGAAGGCCCGAAAACGTCGAAGGCTGGATCAACCAACGGTTCCGCCATAACCATAGGAAATCTCAAGATATTTTCACCAGAAATGATGAGCCACCCCTGCATCCTGGATTTTTGTTTGAGGTGTTTGATCTTTGTGCCGCATTTAGTACGGCCACGTGTCATATTGGTACCTCAGTCAGCCAGCCCCATCAGCAGCCCCCAGCTTCAACCCCCTTTGGCAGGATCTGAGCATCGGGCGGTAGCGACAGGGAGATGACGACCACAGGTAGGATGCTAAGCATCCCATTGGCCGCTGAGATCGAGAGACCTGAAATTGGATGGATCAGCAATACAGATCTCGATTTTTCGTATTTTTTGATATTTCTTGATATGTTCTCAGTGGTTTAGACGGATAAGCTTCATTTCATACGGACAATCACCATGTTTAATAGGCAGATCATCTATAGATGGGCAATTGTCCATACCAAACTCTACTGGTTGGTGGTTTCAAACATTTTTCCATAATACTATATGGGATAATCCTTCCCTTTGACTTTCATAAAATTTCAAGATGGTTAAAACCACCAATAACTCTAAAATTACCAGAGGATATCCCACCGTCAGCCAAGAGATGCCAGACGGGTTTGCTTCAGCAGCCAAAACCACGTCGCAGATCCCGTCAACGGGGCGCCTTCAGGGGGAATCTGAAGCAAAAACGAGACGCAGCGCGCCGCGACGTGCGCGTACACCTGCCCGCAATCCCCTGGGAATTTGTGAAGTTTCATGGCTTCGATACATTTCAATAGAGACATGGTTGGGAAGAAAAGACTTAAACGTGCACTGACGATCTGATGTGAAGATATCATAAGATATCTGAAGTTTGGAATGCTCTTTGGTAGTTCAACATATAGAAAATCACACGCATCTACTATACTTAGCACGGTCCCATAAGTATATGGTCGATTTTACACATATACTTTTATGATCTTTTATGGGCCATTGTCCATAAATTGGTTAAATTGCCGCAAGATACATGTTCTTTTGATCATGTTGTCTGAAAATTTGACTCTTTGAGACTGCGTGGTGAGACTTGAACGTCTAATGTCTAAGTGGTCAAGTGCCACTGAACGCGGAAGGTTTCATCAATATTTGGCAGGTTTTTTCTAGTGGAATTTTCATGTGGAAAAATGGGTCTTGTTTGAATTTATTTGGGACGATGAAAAGACGCACTGATGAAAAGATGTGCTGACTTGAAATATCATGTTCATTGAAGAATAATGGTACCATTGGTAATATACTATTAATATATATGGTACCATTATTAACCATATATTAATAGTATATTACCAATGGTAATATAAAATCATTCAGTGACCATTGGTATATCATTATCATTATCGAACAATGGGAATGTTCATGACAGGTCGCCCCTTGGGATGGCAACTGGTCGTGCCAGGCTGGTAGGTTGTTTCCCAAGGGGCCAAGATAGGTGGGTGTGCAATTCCAAGAACTAAGATTTCTGGGGAATATATCCCTAGATTTCCTAGATGGGTCGTAAACATTCACAAACCAACTACTAGACGTCATCAGTCATCACCTTGTATCTTTGATTTTAGTTGCAAACCTCTGGGGCACATTGAAATTACCCATGGAGCACGAAAGACCACCAATCCGATTTGCTGCCAGGGTGCTTCTCTGCAGTATCGATGATTCAGGGGATTCCCCAAAAACCAGGGAAAAACCATGAAGTGTGTTCCCAATTTGGGCGACATCGACGAAAAACATATCGATGTCCTCAGGTTTGTTGGGTTCCTGAGACTTAGCTCGAACACACCACAGCTTGGATGGCAATCGGCGCCTTCAAAACCTGTCCCCCGCCTGGAAACCCGACATGGAAGGCATTTGGCAAGCAAGGATGGATTTTGAAACTTCCCCAATGAGATACAGTATATACTTAGGAGGCCTTCCGAAGGCCAAGTTAGATTCCCAGAGGGTAAGTTCTCCACTGGACCTACAACTTGATTTTAAACACATGGACGGTGTTTCCTAAAATGGGGGACCCCCACAAACCCACCATAGGTTTCAATACCAACATGATCTAATTTAGCTTTTTTGGGGTGTACCCGCATGTTAGGAACCCACCAAATCAATTCCGACCATTTTTGTTGGTCCATCCCTACAAATTTCGCAGAAACTAGAGATTTCAATGTTAAGTGTGGAGGTTTTTTGATATTGACAATCTCATTGACCATGGCTTACCCGGCGGATGGCGCATGTGGCGCCGGGGACAGTGGGTGCCGTACCTGCTCCGGCAGTTGCAGGCTGGGGGGGAATGGGGAGATGGTTTACCGATGTACATGATGTACCCGTTTAAAAAAAAAAAGTTATTTCCCATAAAATCACGAAAGGTAGCGTCAGCTACCTGAGTTCTCCGTGAATCAGCACAAGCATAGGGGGTATTGGGGGGCCAGCCCGGGCCAAACGTGGAATTCTAGCCGTTATGTATTAGATATCAATTATAAGGGGGGAGGGGCCCCCGCCGAAAATGGTCATGGGTTCAATTCCCGCGGGTGACGCAGTCACGGTCCGCCACAGTAGAGGCACACTCTCCATGAGGGAGATGTCCCTGTAGTTCAGCATAATTGGTTTGCTTCAGCCTCAATAACAGTTGCTGCAAGGGGTCTTAAAAAGTGGTTTTAAATAAACCCCTTTTTGTGCATCATTTCACGCTGCACAAGACACCGTATCATGCAGTCATGCTCTGGATAAAATCATCTTAGACTGCGCAAAAACGTTTTTGGTGTATCATCTTAGGGGCGCAGCATTTTGACACCACTCCTCTCCCACTACACTACCTTTCGTCCGCCTCCGCCTGCTCTCAAGTATAGCTATGTGAGTAGTTCTCATGAAATTTTGCCATTTCTTTATGAGTTTTGTTGGTGTTGGTCAATGACTGATCCCAAACATTGCAAAACTTTACTGTAGCTAGGATGAAAGCTAGATGCGCTATGATTTGAATGTTCGCAAGACCCACTGTGAGAGAAACAGTTTCAAAAACCGACAAAACATTCTTACATTGTTTTGAAAATTGTTTGAAATTGTTGGAAAATTGTTTGAAAATTGTTTTTCTTTTAAAACAATTTTATGAAAATTGTTTGAACATTGTTTTTTATCAAAAAGATATTTCTAAACAATTTTATGAAAATTGTTTTAACATTGTTTTTATTCAAAATATGTTCAGAACAATTTTACGAAAATTGTTTAAACATTGTTTTTTGTCAAAAAATCTTTGAAAACAAGTTTATGAAAATTGTTTAAACATTAGTTTTATCAAAAAGATCTTTGAAACAATTTTATGAACATTGTTTAAACATTGTTTTTACCAAAGATCTTTGAAAGCAATCTTTATGAACAATGTGTGAACATTGTTTCTTGAATACACACTATTTTAGAACAAGCGTATGAGCATTGGTTTCTTGTCCTTCATCACAATACAGTACATTTGTTTGATGTGTTTTTTTGTAATCAAAACATGTTCAACAGTTTCACTTTGTTGTTCTTATATTATATCATTCACCATTTCGCATCGTTGTGATCTACTATCAGAGCTGGTTTTTGCAATTGCATCTGCACCATGAGCTTTGCAAGTTTCATTGAAGCTGTATTTGATGGATTTTTCAAATCATGTTGACGGTCTTGGACCTGGTTGTGCGTTGTGACATGATCGTGTTGCCGCGCTGGTGTTGTCACCTGGTCTTGATCTCCTAGATGCAGTTTTGGGCTCAAGATTTTCAAGTGTCTAAATTGCTGTCGCCATCATGTCGACTCGCTACTGTTACCTCTGTCTGATGGACGTCTTGTTTACTCCGTGGCTCGATGACCCTGATGTGGCACCAACAAAGGCACTTGCAAAAGATTGTCGTTGTGATTGGGAGCATTCGATTCATGTCCTGCTCTCTCCCCCAAGCAACCCATCCTTGCCCAAGGCGAACCGTCGCAAAAAAAAGCTTGAGAAAAAGGAGAAGAGCTCAGACAAGCAGTGAAGGCCATGGATGATCAACATTTAGTTGAGATTGCCAGGCAATATGGGGGCAACCTGCCAGCTCCAGAGGCAGCTGGCCTCAGGCCCGGTTTTGGCGTGCAGCCAGTTCCTGACGACCAGGCTGGCCCCAGGCCGGGTTTGCCTCTGCGCCGTAGAAGCAAAGGCGCTTTGCTACGATTGCTCGGAACGAAGCAAAACTGTCAGACCTTGCGATCCGCAGCATTCCGAAAGCAAGCTGCCCACGCCAATAGCACTGGCCGAAATCGCACCAAAGATTTTGTTATACCAGATTCTTCAAGTGCAAAAAGGCAGGCCCCAAGAGGAAAAGGCAAGTGGAAGCAATGGACCCCAGATGCGGTTCTCAGAGCGGCTTTTGCCAAAGAGAATATGGTGATACGACATGTCGCCGAACAAGTGGATGGAGGCAGCGCCAGTCATGCCGCCGATTGCAAGTTTTTTGCCTCTGAATTGATCATGCGGGGACAAAGGGATGGCTTGTCCAAATTCCTCGAGGAGGCGCTGAAAGATGTTGGGATGTTTGATTTTGCGCTGACCAACATGATCTTTGATGAGACGGAGCTGGAAATAAATCTGAAGTCCTTTGGACTCGGGTCCTGGTCGATCCTTGCTTCTCATGCTCAGATGACTTTCTGTGTCAATGACCAGACGCATGATTTCGATTTTATCCGCGCACCTGCGGCCCTTCCCAACAAACAGGCAACCACTATGTGGCCCGCACTCTGCGCAGGCGAGGGGGGCCTCTGGCCGGGTTTGTCCGCAGTGGCAGCCAGGGTCAGGGCGGTGCTGGTTACCTGCGACGCGGCTCCAGCGAACATCAAGCTCCTCTCGCACCTGCAGAGTGTCCTGGACCAAAGGACGTTGCTTCTCCCGCTCTTGTGTCTCCAACATAGAACGGGGAATGTCATCGAGCGAGTCACTAAGCTGTTGGGCGTGTTGACCGGAAGTTTTTCTGTGGCCAAGACATTACGTTCCGGCAGCGTTGTGAAAAGGCTAGCTGGTCACGTTCGAGACGTGCTGGCAGAGAATCTTCAGGTCTTTGACCGGGTTCCTCCAGGCGTTGTTGAAGAGTGGGCCGCTGGGCAAGCGTGTGCCAAAGCTATCTTTAAGCTTGTGCTGCAAGGGCGCGACGACGACAAAGCCAGCGGCGCCTGCCAAAGATTTTTGGATTTCTTCGCAAGCCCTTGGACAGGACCGACTGCTGGGGAGGGCTCGGGCCAGTGACTTTGGGGAATTAACGGACGCTGGAGCAGTTGTTGCGTTTTTTTTAGTGCTGCGGTTTCAAACCAGGTTTGATAGGTGGTAGAAGATGGTAGAAGCGTCAAAGAATAGATGATGCATATGATTATACAAGTATAATATAATTATAATATATATATATGGTATTAATATTCTATTCATGTTATGTTTTTCTGTACCATATTTGACCTGACGTATGCAGAGAGCAGTGTGCAGCGTGTTTAAATGTTGCAAAGTTGATGTGCTTTTGGAGCAGCCTTTTTTGCTTGCTCAAATTTCCCTCGCGGTCGAGCCAGCTTCCACGACTCTGTGTCTCATGGTGGTCAAGGTGGTGGAGAAGGTAGGGAGGCCTACAGAAACCGACGTCGTGGCGAATTATGGTCTGTCTGCCATTTTCCACCCAGGTGACTTGCGATGTCAGACTGCGGCTGGCCTCTGGCCGAGTTCTGATCTCCGCGAGAACCCTTTGAGCCTGACTACCGCCTTGAACAAGTCCAAGGGCATCCTCGTGGCTGACACCTATGGTGGCGTTGAAGCCTATCGATGGGCACGAGATGCCTACAATGCCAGGCCATCTGTTTGTTGTTAAACACTAATGGTTAAGTTAGTTTCCAGTTAATGTTTTGTTTTGTGTACCTTGTCCTTTTTTTGTTTTTGAATTGAGCAGTTACCAATCAGGCACCCGATGCATGTGATGGTCGATATGTCGGCCTCCGTGCCTGGTTGCAATGGCAGGCTTTGGCTTGGAGGTGAGCAGGCCAGCACAGACGTAGGTCTGCTCGAGAGAAACGGCATTTCTGTCGTGTTGCCAGCTTCGCGCACTCCTATCCCGGCTGAGAGCCTCAACCACGTGGTCCTTGACTACATTGACGGGACGGCCTTAGCGAATGAGGACTACGACTTGTCCAAGTTCCTTAAGGTCGCTGACCAGGTTGTGGACTTGCTGAAGAAAGGCCACGGGGTCTTAAGTTCATGCAGAAACGGAGCTCATCGCAGCGCGACAGAGACGTGCGTTCTGATCATGCGACTCACTGGGTGGCCGTATGAGCAAGCAGAAAATTACATCTGCACTCTTCGAAACTGCGTGGATCTAAATTCTGTAGCGCCTCCGTCTGCTCACAGGAGGCATCCGGTTCGTCCGTCCGAGTTCCTCAAGAAGCACCAGGAGACGATCCTGGATGGACACTACGGCCTTGCAGTGAATGACATTGTCACGCCTGTGGCATACCGCAAGAAAATGCTGGACCTGGGTTTCGAATCCATTTCGACCAGGCCTAAGGCCAAGCCTGCCAAGGCTATCAGACGAGATTCTGGTTACTCGTCTTTTGAGCTTCTGACGGATCCGGCCAGTGCCAGTGGCCAGGAAACAGCCAAGGAGGTTGAGTTGGTTGCAGAGGATGTCCTAGGTGGAACCACCTTGAGTTCAGAAGGTGGGTCTTTGACCTCGTCTTCTGTGGCCTCTGGCCAGGTCCCTGAGCCAAAGGATCCACCCGCGCAGTCCCATTCACCTGGCAAAAGAAAGGAGTCTGAGGCAGAGGACGACTTTGCCGAGTTTGAAGTGGTTGATGATGATTTGGATACGAAAGAGAAGCGAGCGGCAAAGTTGACTTCATTGTGTGACGACCTGCAGACCCTCAATGCCTCGATGCTGAAGCTCCTGCACCCCAAAGAGACCTCCAGGCCACAGCAAAAGGCTATGCCAAAGCCGCCTTCGGAAGCGAAGAAGGATGAGGTGAAAGCCGAGAACAAGATGGACAAGATGGATGTCGACGAGGGTGCGGCTTCCCCGGCCAAGGTTGTGGCTGCATCCAGTTTCTAGGTTGTAGTTTATTCATTATTTTTTTGTTTTTTGGGGTTTCAACTGATAGCTGGGTCTTAAACGAGTAATTAGCAAGAATATAATATATCATATATCATAATTATAGTCATCAATTGTTTTGTTTTACTATATGGGAACATTCTTGTAAGTTGTAAGCTTTTAGGCTTATAGGCTAAAGCGTATAGGTCCAAATTGTTGTATAATAGTTGAAAATGTGCAGAGTTTTTAAAATTCACTGGAATGTCTTGCTATTTTTGTGAGGCACTGAGGAGCCCTTTGAGCCAGATTACGACCCAGACGACCCCGAGCCAGAAGAACCAGCCCCCTCACCTCTGAAACCGGATGAAAGTGAGCAATCCGAAGAAGTGATGAAGCGGGTCTTGCGCTTGCTCGAAGAACAGCGCTTGCATAGCCACGCCTTTTTGGCGAAGTCCTCGAGGCAGGATTCATTCAGCGAGAATCAGGAAAGGATCTTTGCGGCGCTCATGGGTCCTACGCCTCTGGCGGTGTTGCCAATGCTTGATGATATGGCTGCCAGCCAGGCCCTGCTGCTCAGGGACAAGAATGGCATGAGCCTCTTGCACTTCTCTGCGCGCCTTGGCTGCTGGGAGGTCATGGACCGCATGTTGCAGATTAATCCTCAGCTCTGTGACCAGATGACGTCGCCAGTTGGTCGTCCTGCACACTGGTCTCCCCTGATGATCTTGATCGATGCGGGGCACGCGCGGGATCCACAGACCTTCAGGTACATGCTGGCGCGTTTGCTACAGGAGACCAGTTTGACGACCATCGAGGCCAGGGGTGCCAATGGGACTTCTGCCTTGCACATGGCGACGAGCAAAGGCATGTTCAACGCCACCAAGCAGATCCTGTACGCTGTGTACAACAAAAACAGGGCAGACTTGGCGGCCTTCGGCCTGGTTACTTCCATGCTGAACACGCCAAATGGTCGCGGTGCTGGCTGCGTTTCTGGGTTAAGGTTATTAATTGGGTTATATTGTTTTAGTTTTGGTTGTGTTGTTTCTTTTTTTGACGGTGTCGATGCAGCAGTTTGAAATTTGCAGGTTGATCTGGCACCGCGGTGCAACGTGGATTTGGCCATGTACCTGCAGAACCAGTGGAACGCACGTCCTCTTCTCCCGCCACGTGCGGGGTATCGCAGCCGGGATTCCAACACACAGTGGTTGGAGAAGAACCCCTGGTACAGCAGGGACAGGGATTTGTGAGCAGGCCTCTGGCCAGGCTGGATATGCGGGGAACGGTCTCACAGCTTTCTCAGACCATAGACGCCTTTGCCCCGTAGGCCTGTTTTGCGGGCAGCACAAGCAAATCAATATTAGGTCATATATGAGTATTATTGGAATTGTCGCATTGTTTTGCACATTTTTAATCAGTAGAGCATGTGTATCTGAAACTTGTGCTGTGCAGCCTTGTGGCCTGGTTTTGCAGAGCGTCCCGCGTCCAGCCGACTTCCTCCTGGCAAATTGCCAGATCTTCCGCTTGCGAGCGTGGAAAAAAAGCGTGAGTGAGAATGCAGAGGTTTTTTTCAGTTGTGTTTTTTTAAAGGTAGAAAGTTAAACAACTGCAGTTTTCAGTTTCATCAAAGAATGGTGCTGGTTGCTTCTTTGTTTCCCTGTCAGGACCGCCTTGCCACATCTGCTCCGGGTGCTGCGCTAGCAGACTGGAGTCCGTGGATCGAGCGGCGGCCCTTTTTCAAGAAGTTTTTCTACATGCGCTGACAATCCCGGCGTTGAATAAGTGGACGACTGTAGCGCCGTCTATGACCTTGGTCGCAGCGATGCAGCAGTGCTACGACGTCGTCCCGCAGGCCTTTGGTCGGTGTTTTGCACGCGGCCAAGCAGAAGAGTCCAGCGACGACTCTGGGGGTGAAGACGCTGCATTGGGGGTTCCCAGAGACCAGACAAAACAATGGAGGAAGCTAGCTAGAAAGAGGCAACAGAAGGCCGCCTTCTTTTTGCAGGATCAAGAGTCCCGTTTCTTGACAATGCTCTGGGGCATTGTGACGTTCTGCGTCATGACCGTTCACTACTCCTTGTTCAAGCGGGGAACTTGGCTCACAGAGCGCGTTGAAGATGAGACAGACGCAAACCTTTCATTTTTTTTTAGCAACCCAGCAGCCAGTCCAGCTGCCCGAGCCAGTTCTGAGATCGCTTCGCTGTTGGACTCTGTCCAGGTTTACGCCTGGATTCCTTTGGTTGGTTTGTATGGGCCTCTGCTCTCGTGGCCGCAGAGGAGGTTGCGAAGCACCAGGCGCTGCTTGCTTACGGAGGTTGGCCAGCTGTACAGGAAGTTGCTTGAACCATGGAAACGTTACCCCTGGAAGCTCGTGGAATTGCCACTGATGGAAGAGGCCATGAGGTTTCAAGCTGCACAAGATTTCTTTCGGGTCCGTGACTGCTGCCTGGATGGCTTCAGTGCAAAGCTCAAGACAGTGGTGGAGGATCCTCGTGGCCTGGTGGCTGCCAAAACTTTGAAGTTTTTAGCCTCTGTCTTTGACCGGTTGGTGCCAACGTCCACCTGCATTGAGCGGGCTTTTGCTAGACTAAGCAGATGGTGTGACCGTAAGGGGCCGAAACCTCAACTGCCCACGCTTGCCGCAAAAAATGCTGTGTATCATTTTCGACACCTGACAGATCACTGGCGGGCCAAAGCTCGAAAGCTTGGTGTTATCCGCAAAGGCAAGAGTCACCGATGTAGGCCTGACTGGGCCCATGGTGTACGCAAAGGACGGTGTCGCAATGGGTTGCACATGTTTGCCAGAGAAAATGGTTTGAATCCTTCCGATGATTTGGCTCGTCAGTGGCGCTTGCAGCCTCGTGCAGAGAGGAGGCGCTTTGCCGCGCTGGCTAGAGCTTCTAACTTGCAGGCAAGAACTTTGCAGAGGTGCGACGCAAGGGCTGCCCAAGAGTCTGCTGCCCTTACTGGCGGCTTTTGGAATATGAGTGCAAGCACTGGCTTCCCAATGGCCAAATCGATCGTTGCAGAACATCTGCATTCTCTGAAAGATTATGCCAGAAATTTCCGCGTTTCCACTGATTCGCTGCTTCCTGAGAGCCCAAATAGTTTTGCTGGCGCACCAGCAGTGCCCTTTTCATTGTGGGCCTCGTGCCAGGTTGGAGCTTGCCCTCATGAACTGACGGCCCCCCAGCAAGAATGCTTCTGGTCTTTGCATGAAATGTTGGTGCTAGTGATTGGCAGCCAAAGCCCGGATCCCACGGTTGCATCAAAGGAGCCGCTTGTTCTGGAATTTTGTTCTCAGAGAGCTGCGGCGTCCCGCCAAGTTGTTGTTGCTTACAACACGCGGAAGAAACCCATTGATGCAGCGCTCATCGCTCTGCGTCCGCTCCCTCCATCTGAAGTTCCGCATCAGTTTCTTCAAAGTTTGGCATGCGAGACAGGCGTAGATGGACAATTTCCTTTGGTCGGGGACGTGCCAATGTGTGTCGAGCTGGCAAGCCAAGCGACTGATTGGGAGTTGTTTGTTCTCTCTGTTGGTCCTATCACAGACCTTCATCTCTTCCATATTGTAGCTGCTAAGCGTGTAGATTTCGTAGCCCTGATGCTTGAAGTTGGAAGCGCCAGAGAGACCAAAAAGGCTTTAGATGCTTTGAAAAAATGGAGAAGAAAAAAATGGCTGCAAGCCAATCCAGCAGCCATAGGGCAGGTGGAGAGCGGCAGGGACCGAGCAAAGGACGTGGCAAGGGCAAAGCTGCCAAAGGCGCAATGGAGAGAGCAAACAGACCAGACATGCATGGAGATCGTGACGACGCGCTTGATGACGGAGGCTCTTCGCAGTCGGACGAGGACTCTGTTGCTGATGTAGACGATGCTGAGGTTGACTTGTCGCTTGACCCTCCTCCTTCCTGCCCGCCTCTGGCGTCGGTTGCTCCACGACGCCGCAACGTGAGACGCGGTCATGTTTGGGGCTCCAGCCCAGCATTTCAAATCGCTCCCATCCATGCAGCAGGCAGTGCGGAGCCCACAGGATTTGGTGCGATTTGCGGCATGCACCATGACCCCGCCAACCCAACGCTGCAGTGCAAAAAAGCCATGTCTTGCGGAGGCCTGACCCCTGAGGAGTGCAAGCTTCGTTTGAAGCGCTGGCTTGTCGCCGGGTTGGATTCCGGCAGGTGGGGCGCCAACAAGCGAGAGAGCCATGTTAGCATGGGCGGCGTTCAGCTGTCCCATTTCGCTGAAGGCCTGAGTTTGGAAGACTTAGACAGAGCGGTGAGCCATCAGGAATAAAAAGGTTGCTTTTGTCAGCCTGCCTCAGCAGCCGTCAGCGTGCCCACAATCAATCACACGACATATGATATATTATATAATATATATATATATAATATATGTTTGCGCTTCAATTTCTACACAGCAAATGTTTGTAACAAAAATGGTAACGATAAATAAATAGACTAGATAAATATTTAAGAAAAAATAAATAATTTATATATTTTGATAATATTTTAATGTTTTTGTCAAAACAATCGTAGAATGTTTTGTTTTTTATTTTCCGTACACAAATGTAGTTTTCCGTACACAAAACCTACTTTTCCGTACCCAAAATGTACTTTCCCGTACACAAAAACCCGTCAAAACATTTTGAAAAATAATTATAAATATATATGAATATATAAAATATTATAAAATCATTTCTCTTTTTTTACAAATTATGTTCCAAATGTTTACAAATATATCCCAAATATTGTTCTAATTCTCTTAACATGTTTGCATTTATGTCACTGCTTTTGTGAGTGCGTCAAGATTGTTTCTTTGCTTGTCTCGCCTCTGGCGTTGTTCACACCGCGCTCCTTGTAGCCCTGTAGGCCCAAATAATTGACGTGAAATAATCTTTGGGGATTTTCTCGCCATGTCTCCTGACGCGGAGTCAGTGTCTTCTTCTTCGTCTTCCAGCTCAGATGAATCCGGCGCTCCTCCACCTCCGCCTTCGTCTGTGGGTTCGTCGGGTGGCGCTTTGAGGGTGTCCTATACTTCCAGAAAGTCTCGTCACTGCACCCTGTGCAATGCCAAGTCCACTGACCAGTCACCTCTGGATTATTCGGAGGAAATTTTTCCAGAAGTGCAGGGAAGAATCCCGTGGAGATCTTACGAGAAGGTCAAAATGGATGACGGAGAGCAAGTTCGTGTGCCCTCTGGAAAGCTTTGCTTGATTTGCTTCAACGTCTACAGAGCCCTCGGTTTCTTTGCCGCATGCTTATCACCTCGCCTCTGGCGTTGTTTCCAGCTTTTCACATTCAGACAGGTTTCCATGGATGGAGGCAGCTTTTGTTTCGTACAGTGTAGTAATTTGTTACTGAAACTGTAGCCGTAAATGTTTTCTTCATTGCAGCTAAGGTTTGCAGGCCACGTACAAGAAAGTTGAAGACTACTTCAACTGGGTCTCCGTGAGAAAAAATCAGGCCGAGCACGTTTCGTTCCTAAATGCGAGAAAGGATTGGATCAAGCAGCACAATGAAGGAGGACCCGACTGCAAGAGATTGCAGAGCAAGAAGTCCCTTCTTGAAGCCAAGAAGACCCTCAACGTTGTGCGCAACGTGGGCGGTCGGTTTATCGCTCCCAAGAAGAAGTTTGTGGAGAAGGACAATTGGAATGAAAAAGAGCACGGAGTCTTGGACCCAAACAAGGTCGTGACCGAACATATTTTCGGCAAAGAAATTCAGGGCTGCTGGATCTTGAAAGGGAAGAAAGGTGAATACGATTTTGAAGAGTACCAAGACACCGCTCTGCAAGAAAAAGAGCAATTGCACAATTCAGCAGATGCTCCCTTTTCTGAAGAAGCTTTGGGCCGCAAACGCAAAGCCATGATGGACGAGTTCGTGGAAAGCCCCACTACGAGAGACAAGGCCAGTGTGGAAGGCCAAGAATTGTCCATGCAAGGTTTGCTTGCAGCCATCCAAATGGGACATGATCCATCTTCTGGTTCCACTGGTGAGGCGGTTTCCACCGTTTCCGCCTCCGGCGAGGTTCAAAGCCATGAAGCAGAAGAGGAGTCCACCAGCGACTGCGCGTCAGAAGAGGAAGAGGCCCGCCCAAGCCTTTCGTTCGCCCCCCGACCGCCGAAGGCCAAAGCCCATGGCAAGCCTGCGGCGAAGCCTCAGGCTAAAGGAAGCACGCAGCCGTCGAAAGCTCCAAGTTCTTCTGTCGTGCCTGTCCCTGCACCCAGTGCGCCAGCCGCCAAGAAGACCACCAAGACAGAGCCTGCTCCCAGCAAAGTTCCCAGCAAAGGGACAAAAGCTTTGCAACAAAGCGGCAGCGACCAAAGCTTAGAGAGCGCAGCGACGCTGCTTGCAGACGGTCGGGCCCAGAGGGCCTTGAAGAATTTGCAGGAGAGTGTTGCCAAATGGAAGTCCCAGCTGGCAGACATTCGGGTCGACGATGCGCCTCCTGCGCCTGATGCCCAGGCTCAGACCAAATTTAAGCAAGCGTGCATAGACAGAGCCAATGTTGCCAAGGCCTTGGCCCGGCAAGCCCGAGACTATGGCAAGCGCATGGACAAGAGTTCCAACAAGGACAATTTCTTAGGGGAGCTCGAGGAACTGCAAAAGGTGGAGTTTGCTGCTGTGGCTGTCCAGGCCTTGTTTCAGATAGCTGGTGCGCAGAATTCAGCTCCAACTGCTGTTGTCAAAGCCTTTGAGGATGCCAGCGAGCATGTTGATCTCTTAGGCTGCAACGCTCTCGGAGCAGGTTTCCAACGCAAGTACGCTTTTGCAAAGGCGGGCTCGCATTGTTTGTACCAGGAGTACGAAAAGTATTGCGCCGCCTTCTTGGGGTCTTCTGAGTTGATGATGGGCCTTGCCGAGAACATTGGCCAAGATAGTCTGCAGAACCACGTCATGGCAGAAATGGAAGGCCGCCTCACTTTGGCTTTGAGGACCATTAAGCCAACCGACGTCCAAGCTGTTGTCAATGGTCTTGAGGAGCCCTCCAATCTTCAAGAGTGCGCTGATCTGTGCAAAGCGGTCATGGACGTCGGTCAGAAACATGGCTCTGACTTTTTGGCTTCTGGCCTTGGCAAAGCTTGCACGATTGCCTTTGGCATAGTTAGTTCTGCAGATATTGAAGTAACCAATGACGCCCTCAAAGAGATTCAGTCATTCAGGGAGGGCGACGCAAAGGATGAAAAGCCAGGAGCTATTATGGTTTATTTCCTGGAGCACACAGTTGGTAAATCCTTAGTGGATTTGGCCACTGGCCGGGTTGGAGCTGGGGAGACCGAAGCAGTTGCCACTGAACATCTCAAGACCTTGCAAGGAGAAGTGTCCAAATTGCAATCAGTGTGCTACGCAGGCTCAGTTGCCGGTGTCCAACTCATTTCTGCCGATTTGGAACCAGTAGACAAGCTTATTGGTGATTGCCAGAAAAGCATCGCATGTCTGAAGAGCGGCAAGGACACCAAAGGCAAGAACGCAAAACATGAGAAGGCAGACGCAGCAGAGAGCAAACAACGACATCGAGCGCATGATCGCCTGGTGGAAGCTTTGAATGAATACAAGGCCTCTTTCGCAGAGCGGGCGCGGGAACTTTTGCTGCAGGAGTTGAAAGCAAACCTTTCTGAGCAGTTGCTCCTTGGACTGGAAAACAGCTCTACGTTTTGAGTTTGTGCTTTGAACTGCCCGGGACACAAGTGACTCAAGTCTCTTTGTCATAGATATATAGCATCATATAGACATATACTAAGAGGTCATGCACGGTCTGTGGGGTATTTTCTTTCCCTGCGAAGGCAGACATGAAGTCGTAGTCCGCCTTCAGCGAACTATTCAAAGTCCCATGGTATTCCGAAAACTAATGTAATATTGTAAATCACATCATATCACTAAGTATCCAGTATACTCCAGCCTATTATCAGAATGCAAAAGCCTTTGGCATAGTTGTAATCTTAACCTTTCACAGACCCCGGTATTATATGAGTAGAAGGGCGTTCTTTTTCTCAACGTGTGACTTTGAGGCGTCATCTCTGCAATGCTTTGGACAGTGACTGCATGGTCACAGAAGAAGGCACTGGACAAAAAGCGCAGCTGATCGATTTGGAAGAGATCTGGCCATGCTTGAAGCACACAGCCGTCATTGCCCATTCGTTTTGGGCTACTTCGACGGCCTCTGGTCAAGTTAGCAAGGTGCTGCAGGATTACGAAAGCTTGTCAGTTCAATTGTGTTCCATGGCCAAGTTTGTCTTTTTCCAAAGCCCGAAGTTCAAGGGAAATGCAAAGCAGCAAGTGGATGTTAGCGCTACGGATCTGAAAAGCTGGGTGGAAAAGCTTCCAGAAAAGTTGCTTGAATGGGTTGGCGCTGATTTGACCACCTCTATGAGAGTCACATTCTTGTCTGTTTGTGAAGAACACCAGCGCTCATTGTTTTCAGCAGGATTAGATGCCGTCGCTGACGTGGTTAAGAAATGCGTTGGTGGACCGCTGCCTGCGTGTGATAATCTCCTGCAGCAGCAGCTGCTGATGAAAATTCCGAAAGCGCATAGCCTCAAGCCTGTCGTCACAGCGTTTCTCAAGGCGTTTTCCCTTTTTCTGTCAAGTTATGGTACGCGAGGGGTTTTTGTGTCACAGAAATGAAATGGACATCGGGTCAAGTTTTCAGGTCAGGCTGTGCTTTCAAGCTAATTCACCAGCAGCCTGTATTGTCTGCAGTGTGCAGTAAATAACTTTTTGATAACTTATACACAGATAACACTTAACTTACACTTATATATATATATGTGTGTGTGTCATGTGTGATGTTTGGTTGCAACGCGTAGTCTTTTTTCAGCATGTCCTCTGCTCCTCTTTTTCCCCAGAAGAGCGTGTTTGCAGGTTGTGGGCCATGAAGGAGGCACCGATGACAAGCACAAGGAGGTGGTGGACCTGCATTCAACAGGCAATCTTCTTTGTGATGCTTTCGGTTTGCAACCGAATGAGGCGGATTTTGAGAAGAGCTGCTTGAAGGATGCGGTTCCTTGGCTGGAGGGTGTTGCTAAAAAGCTTGCAAGATATTTTCTTCAGAAGTTCGAAGACGCGACCGCCAAGTTGAACGCCGGTGTGAAGAAGGTGATTGCAATCAAGATGCCGAGCTTGGACATGGAGGACGAGTACCGGAAGCAGGGCGTGAGAGTTGTGGGTACCCTTGCTCAGCTCACGGCTGCGGTAGAGGACGACATCAAGACTTTAAGGGATGTGCGACAAGCCCTGTCCAACCTGAAAGGCGTCAAGTTCGCTCCGCAAGGGAAACCTCCAGCTGTGGAAGAGATATGCGCTTTCCAAGCAAGGTTTCAGGATCCTTTTGCTCCGGCAACTTACGAGCTTGATGCTGGCAAGCATGCAAAAGAAGCATCCTTCCATGTGGCCGCAGTGGCTGCGTGTTGTGCTTGCTTCGGAGTGACGCCATGAAAAAGGCAGACAGTAAGACTACCAAGCAGGTCGCAGACGTTGCTGTTACTTTGCGGGGCAAACTGGAGCTCGTGGCAGAAGATTCTGCGGATCTCAAGACAGCCGGCAAGCGATTGCTCGAGGAGTGTGAGAAGTACGGAAAAGTCTCGCCAAGGGCAGCGAAAGCCAAGGCGGCGACAGAGACTAGCCACAGCTCGGCATCCAAGAAGTCGCGAGTCGCTGAGGCACAGGATGCCGGCAAGAACGTCAACAAGGAGGAAGCGTCCAAGAATGCGACAGACACTCAGAGCACACCGCCGCCAGAGAAGGCAGCTGCAATGGATTCTATCCCAGTTGCAGAAGAAGGCGCTGAGAACCCGGAGAAGAAGCCGGAGGAGACAAAAGAAAGCAACATAGAAAAGGACAAAAAGGAGAAGGAAGAGAAAAAGGAGAAAAAGGAGAAACAGGAAAAAAAGGAGAAGAAGGACAAGAAGGACAAAAAGGAAAAGAAAGAAAAGAAGGAAAAGAAAGAAAAGAAAGAAAAGAAAGCAAAACGCGACAAGAAAGACAAAAAGGAAGGAGACAAGAGTGGCAAAAGGAAAGGGAACAAGGAAGAGAGCCTCCAAGCAGGAAAGGCAAAGACGGCAAACAAGAAGGGAAAACCGCTGGCGGTCAGCCCCAAGAAGAAGCCTTTCGCAGCGCGGCAGGCTCAGAAGATGAGCCCTTCGAGCAAGGCAGATGAAGGGCGTGGCCGTGGGCGTGGGAAGGGCCGCGGCCGAGGCCGAAGTCGAGCGACAGGCCAAGCAGAGGACGTGGAGTAGATGATGGCCTCTGGCTTGGTTTCCGTCTTCGACTCGCCAGCCCGAGCTCTTCAGCACCGCCGCCGATGATCCATGCTGAGAGTTTTGATCATAGCCTAGCTTAGACTTTTGAAACAACAGGGATGCGATTGAAACAGTTTGAGCTGCCGCGGCGCCGCGCGGGACGAGTTGGAATAAGCCCTCAGCTCTTAGATTTTAATCTAAGTTTGAATGAGTTTGGAAAACCAACTCGCTTCTATTTTCCTTTGTTGAATAGCTCATGAATGACTCATGACTCATGAACATGTGGCTCCACCAGCAGCCGGCTTTGTTTTGATTGCTTTCGCTGTGATGTATTCACCGAGAATCTCCACTTTGATACAGTAGGCAAAAAACGTAGCAATGGCAATGGCAATGGTGTATCAAATTTACATCATGACGTAATTGAATCCAAACTAAGCATGAATTGAGCCTTTCTGCTGTCGTACCTGCCATGGAGCAGCCGTTCGACTCACCCCAGTCTCCGCCTCACAAAAAGGCGCGCGCGCTCCGGAAGGAAAACTCAGCCGACGCATCATTGATCCTGTCGGCTTCCAGCCGGGTTACTGAGGCATTCAATGTTGTTGAAGGCACGCTGCTGCCAACTCTGGCCAGGGAGAACCTGCAAGGCTTCAAAGCCGTGTTGCCGCGAAATCATCCGTTGGCCCTAGGCTTTGTTGGTGGAGAGCAAACCCGAGCAATGGATGATTTGGAGTTGACCTGGGGGTCTTGTTGCTCTGGCAGCGAGGGCGTCCACTATGTAGTGGAAGCGTGTGCCCAGGCCATGGAAGAGACAGGTTTGCCAGTCACTTTCCAGCACGCGTTCTCATGTGAAAGCAACAAGGCCAAACGATCCTGGATTGCTGATGTCTTGTGCAAGGGACAAGTGTTCAACTCTGACATGCACGAAACCTTTGCTACTCATGCAGAAGTTGGCTGCATCTTTGAAGATATCAAGGATATGGGCAGTGAAATGAGCAAGTGCAGCCTACATGGAAAGGAGTGCCCAGTTCCTTCGGTTGATTGCTTGTTTATAGGAACGAGCTGCAAGGACTTGTCCAGAGCCAACAGCTCCGTAGACAAAAGCAAACTGGTTTTGTCGCAGGAAAGCAGCAGAGGAGCCTCTGCGCAAACCTTTCGAGGCATGCTCAGTTATTGCCAGGGTCACAGACCGACGTTGGTTTTGTTTGAAAACGTGGACGCAATAGATGACAAAGTTTCCAGCAACACTGAAACAAACCTTTCACTGCTCATGAACGCCATGAAGGAACTGGGCTTTGAGGGCCAAAAGATCATGACTGATGGCCAGGAATTTGGGCTTCCTTGCCGACGTCGAAGGCTCTATGTGATGTTCATCGACAAAGAAAGCAGCAAGGTAGACACACAAACCAAAACCTTGAGCCAGATCTTTTCAACTTTGCGGACTCTGGTGACTTCTTGCATGCGGTCGCCGCCTTGTTCCAAGGAGTGCTTGCTGAGCCCGTCAGAACCAGATCACTTGGAACTCTTGGAGAAAGCTTTGGGGGAGCACCAGAAAAGCGCGCAAAAGGCTGCCGAGAAGAAAGCACCTCCACAAACATGGCTTGACAGACACATGGCCTATGCAGATGATTTGGGTTATCGGTGGGGGTCTGCCGTGGATGAGGAGCTGGCAGGCAATAAATGGTACCAAACTTTGTCCAAGCGGGAGGCAGATGCCTTGGTTTTGTCTAGGGTTGCCGATCCAACGTGTGAATTCCGCAATGTGAGCCAGAGCGTGGGCTGTATCAACTCAGTTAGCCAGATTGACAACAAAGGAAAAGAGGTCGCGCCGACCATGTTGCCTGGACAATTGATGTGGGTTGAGTCCCAACAGCGCATACTCACAGGCTACGAGGCGTTGATCTACCAAGGTTTCCCTATCTTATTATATCTGGCAAAGGCTCGAAGTTTGCCACCCGCTTGCAATTCGCAAAGCTTTCTGACTGACATCGCGGGCAATGCGATGGCATTTCCTGTGGTTCTGGCCATCTTCCAAGCCACGTTGGCCTCTGTGCCCTGGTTGCCTGCGCATGACAGTGAAGATGAGGATGATAATGATGAGAATCAGGAGGAAGACGCGGCTGATGTTGAGACAGCTTTGGCGGCCTTGGCCCGTTTGCAGAGATAGGCCTCTGGCCGGGTTTTGCACCAAGGTCTCACCCCAAGATTTGCGGCCGCTATACAAGAAAAAGTTGGGAACTTGCTTGCGGGTGGCCCTGTGTGATGTTGGGGACTGGAAAGAAGTTGGGTGGATGGTTGAAAGTTTTTTGTTTTTTCAAGGCTGGGTTTTTGACGTGTGATTGCCGCGTGTTGACTAAATACTAAAGACTAAAGTCATATGATTCATATGATTGAGATCTGTAGACACAACAACATCCAACAATCCGTTGAAGTGCGAATAGTTCCTGTTGTTATTGTGGGCAGTTGTTAGAAAATGATCGCACTTTTTGAATGATAACAGAAAGTAAAACATGCAACAATACCAGATTTATGCATGCCTTGCGAATGAACAAAACAGCGTCACCACAGAAAGAACGCACATTTTTTGATGCGGAAAAATGAAAATTGTTTGTTTCAGATAACACAGCCGAACATTTTTCAAAACAAAACCAAATCTTCACATTCCAAACGATCATGAAAACATTGAAACATTTTTCTGAATATTTTTTTGAAATTTTGAACAAGTTTAAAACATCTTAAAACAATTTTCCGAAAAAACAAACAGTATCAAAACAATTTTAAAACAATTTTAAAACAATTTCATTTTATTTTCAAACAATTTTAAAACCAATCAAAACAATTTTAGAACAATTTTAAAACAATATTTATTTTTTTCATTTTATTTTAAAACAATCTCCGAACAATTATGGAAATTTAAAACAATTTTAGAAAAAATTTTTAATAATTCAAACAATTTTGGACATTCCCTGGGGGCTCCGGAACCTCAGCATTTCTAAAAACACCTAAGCTATGATGATTTACCCATTTACCATGATTTGCCCGCTAAAAACATGCGTTTTCCCATAACATAGCTATGTCAGTAGTTCTCATGATAAAATCAACTATAAACTGGTATTTCTGATGGGTAAATCAACATAAATCAACTATTTCTATGGCCATTTTCTATGTCGCAAACTGTTCACTTTCCAGATGGTCAATCCGACAAAATCCCCCCGTTTTCGGAAGCCCAAAAAGAAGTGAGGCCAAGGACAACCAGACCGCCAGCAAGGCCGTACAGCTACTTGGACAAGTCCTTTGTGGGGGATTTTATGGTGATTTCTGAGCGCAAAATGGCGAGTTATGGGGAGATATGGTACCCTCTGGTAAATTAACAGTTGGACCCTGAAAATCACAAATTTTTAGAGGAAACTAGTCTTCCAACCCCGATGACTACCAGGGTCTATGTTAATTTACTGGAGGGTAATTAAAATGGTGATGGGAAGAGGAGAGAAGTTAAATGATGGGAAGCCTAGTTTTGAGGAAAATTCATGCAAAACTGTGCAAAATAGAGATGTCATGGAGATATAGCAAGAGATTTGGGGTTACAATGGTGGTATGATGGGGATTATAGGAAGGATGTACAGTACTGGCGATATGTTGGGAGATTGTGGGCTATGATGGGGATATAATGGAACATAATGGGATATAAACCAACAAGAATAAGGATACCCTTAGGCGATTTGTTGCAGTTTGGTACCTGAAATCACAATTGTTTAATCATGTTTAATCGATAAATTATCGAACTAAATGGGCCATGGGTTCCATATCGCTATGTGAAATTACTGGGTGCTATGGTTTTTTGAAGCTGATGGAATGTGAAATAGGATATCATATGATATCATGATATGATGGGATTTCAATGGGATTTCAATGGATTCGATCGCCACTGGACCCTGTGCGGTGTGCTGCCATGCAGCAGTACTGGTCTTCCCAAGAGCGAAAATAGAAGCAGTTTGGTAGGGGATTCAACCAAGCACAAAGCAAAGACCCTCTGGTAAACTACCATGACATACCATAACTATTGAAACTCACCAGTGTTTTTTTAAATCAACTATAACTGGGCCATGTTCTATAGCTATATTGTTAAATTACCAGAGGGTAAACTTTGGTTGTTGGCTTCAAGTTTCAGTTCCATCATACTTGGGGTGACACCCAGTCTCTGACATTATTTTGAGGGGTTGAAATCCTTGAGGCTCACTTTGTTGTTGATCGTTTCTCTGTCGAAGCGTGCGATTGGCTGTGGGCTATCCAGCTTTGACTCCTAGGTGTTGGGCCCACCTGTGTCAGTATCGGTGGATCCCCGCATGACCTGACCTTTCTGGGACGAGGTTCCGACCGCCAACCCCAACAGCATCAAACGGTTTTTTCCCCACATCTTTGTGTGGGGTTCTTGTTTTTGATTCTGTATCCCGGGCTCCTCCTCCGCCGCCTTCTCCTCCTCCGCCCTCCTCCACACTTTGTCACCATACACTTTGTCAACAAACACTTTCTCAACACACACTTTTTTATCACCACACACTTTGTCCAACACACACTTTATCAACAAACACTTTATCAACATACACTTTATCAACAAACACTTTATCAACATACATTTTTTTTCTCAACATACATTCAACATACACTTTATCAACAAACACTTTATCAACATACATTTTCTCAACATACATTTTCTCAACAAACACTTTGTCAACACATACTTTGTCACCACACACTTTGTCCACACACACTTTGTCCACACACACTTTGTCACCACACACTTTCTCAACAAACACTTTGTCAACACATACTTTGTCACCACACACTTTGTCCACACACACTTTGTCCACACACACTTTGTCACCACACACTTTCTCAACAAACATTTTGTCAACACATACTTTGTCACCACACACTTTCTCAACAAACACTTTGTCAACACATACTTTGTCACCACACAAACTCACATCCACCGTCACAAA